AGGGAAGGTTAGAAGGGCTTGTAGGCAAGTGATAACTTGAAGAAGGGGTAGTTTAATAGAAAAAAAGTAAATGTCTAATGTGATTGGAAGGCGTAGAAGCCAGGAAGCAGTTGCAACAGTTACACAGCAACAGTTGCAGATTGTGGAGATCATGTGGGCGTGGGAAAGAAGAAGTATAAAGGTCAGAAATTTGCAGAGAGAGGGGACATCAACAACAATACAACAAGTTAGTTCTATCTTAAGAGTAGCTTTATCTAAATTTAGGAGTAGTTTCTCTCTGTAATTTGTAATCTTTGTAAACATTGGTGGTTTCATCTTGAAATCATCTTTAGTTTGCTTTGTTTAATTTGTTTGGTCTTGCTGATTGTAACTTTTGTTCCAAAGAAGTCCTTGTACTTTCATGGTATTTGAATAAAAAACAAAGTCGCTTGATTGCTCTTGATTGTTTAGTCAAAATTGTTGTTTAATTCTTGTCGATTGGGAGTTATCATAATTTTTACTAACAACGCTTGGGAATCCAATTGCATTGAATAATAAAAATCGACAAGCACATGTTAAAAACCTAATAACTGTCCATTACATGATAACCATCAAAAAAATATTTGTTAACAACAAATACAACCATCTATTACATGATAACCATCCAAAAACATCAACAAAAATAACAACCCATTATATGATCATCATCCAAACGCATACTAAAAATTAATTTAGTAAAAAAATACAAAATTAAAAATGTAAAAGAATTATCATTTCTATACAATTTTATCTTTGGTGGGTAAAAATAATTTTTAAAAATTCAAAAATAATTTTTTGACATTTATTTTTATCAAACTAGTTTATATTTTATCAAATTAACGACTTTGCCCTTGAAATGGAGCAATGGCATCTTTAGAACGAGATTCAAAATTTAGGATTAAAAGTATTACAATTGAAAAGTTAGGGATCAAAATGACACAAGCCCCAAACTATAGGGACTGTTAGTGTAATTTGCCCTTTCAAAACAATTAGAGAGAATTGGAGCTAATTTTTCATGTTTGTAGGCATTTTTAGAAGAAAAAAATTGTAACAATTATACCAATAGATGTTCGCTTTATATATTAGTATATATATATATATATGTATATATAAATATTTGTATAATATATTCAAAGTAAAAATAAGCAAAAATTTTATAGAAAATATGGCAAGAATGGAGAGAAAAGTGAAAGTAGCATGTGGCTTGCATATGCTAAATAATTGGACACTCTATATATAGTGGCCATATCTACTTCATTGATCTCAAGACAATACAATACAATACAATACAATATATCTCCCACCTGTTAGGTTTTGCATGACCATGAATAGATCAATGCAACCTGTTGCAATTCTTTTCTTCCTTTTTGTCTTTCTCACCATAACATCCGTTCATTTTAGCTTCTGCAATGCAAACCATGATGTGGTCATGTGCATGGAGAGTGAGAGACAAGCTCTTTCTGCCTTCAAGCAAGACCTAGTAGATCCTTCAAACCGACTCTATTCTTGGGAAGTCGAAGATGATTGCTGCAAGTGGGAAGGAGTTGTTTGCAACAACTTAACTGGCCATGTCCTCGAGCTCCATCTTCAAAATCCTTATACTTCATTAGATTTTGATTATGAGCTTAATGACTATTGGTTTAAGAAGTCAGCATTGAGAGGTGAAATAAATCCTTCTTTGCTAAATTTGAAGCACCTCAAGCACTTGGATCTAAGTCTGAATGATTTTGGAGGAATGCCAATCCTATCCTTCATTGGATCTCTAGCCAATTTGCGATATCTTAACTTGTCTAAAGCAGGATTTGCAGGAACAATTCCCTATCAACTTGGAAATCTATCTAGCTTACATTTTTTGAGTCTTAAAAGTTTTCTCAAGATGGATGTTGAGAACCTTCAATGGCTTCTTAATCTTTCCCACTTGGAACACCTTGACCCAAGCTATGTGAACCTTACTAAGGCTCCCAACTGGCTACAGGTAAGTAACGAAATCCCTTCTTTAGTAGAGTTACATTTGTTTGGTTGCGAACTTGATCACATTCCTCCTCTACTCGGTGTTAATTTTACATCTCTTGTTGTACTAGATCTTTCCGAGAACTTCTTTAACTCTTTAATACCTAGGTGGATCTTTAGCCTTACTAGCCCTATTTCTCTTGATCTAAGCGGGGAGATTTTTGTAGGAAGGCTTGAAGGTTTTAGAGAAAATGGATTTCAAGGTCCATTTACTAAGGTTTTCCAGAACATGACTAGTCTTGAATATCTTGATCTATCCCATAATGAACTTGAGGGTCCATTTCCTGTACTTTTGTTAAACATGACCAGTCTTCGACATCTTGATCTATCAAGTAATATACTATAGGGAAGGCTACCAAGATTCTTGGGAAATCTTTATAACTTGAATTTTATTGATTTGTCAACTAACAACTTTAGTGGGGAATTACTTATAAGTTCATCTAAATGTGCAATATATGCTTTGGAGATATTGTCCTTGTCTGGGAGTCATCTTTCTGGTCATTTACCTGATGAACTTGAACAATTTAAAATTTTGCGATACCTTAGTCTCTCATCTAATTTGTTTTCAGGTTCCATTCCAAACACTATAGGAAGATTGGCATCCTTAGAATATTTGGATGTAAGCATAAATCAACTAAATGGAACTCTTCCCTAAAGTTTTGGACACCTTTCAAAGTTGCAACAATTTGATGTGTCTGATAATTTGTTGGAAGGCATTGTGTTCGAAATTCACTTCACCAATCTCATCAATCTAAGCATAATATATGCCTCTGGAAACCGGTTGGCTTTAAAGGTGAGTCTTGACTGGCACCCTCCACTTCAACTTATAGATGTGGAACTTGCTTCGTGGAATTTGGGCCCAAAGTTTCCCATATGGCTCCAATTACAGAAGGACCTAGCGATTCTTGACCTGTCCTACACTGGAATCTTAGATGAGATACCAATTTGGTTTTGGAACTTCTCTTCCTCGCTTTTTTTCTGTAGATCTCTTGCACAACCAAATCCATGGTGATATTTCGTATCTCTTCGTTGCTTCTACAGTCCAATATATTTACTTAGAATCCAACCATTTTAGCAATCCATTACCCCATATTTCTTCCAATTTGGTTGATCTCAATCTTTCCAACAATTCATTTTCTGGGGATATCTCCCATTTCATTTGTGACGAACAAAAACATCTGCAATTTCTTGATTTAGGAGAAAACCTTTTGTCAAGTGAAATTGCTAATTGCTGGATGGGTTGGCAAGCACTAAAAGTCATAGAAATGGGAAACAACAATCTAACAGGGAATATCCCAAAATCCATGGGGCTCTTAGGAGGTTTGAAATCGTTACATTTGCGTAACAACCATCTCTCTGTAGAAATTTCTTCGTCTTTGTAGAACTGGTCAAATTTATGGGTGGTTGACCTCAGCGAGAATGAGCTTCAAGGAAGCATACCCACATGGATGGTGGAATGGCTACCAGATTTGATTGTTCTTACCCTTCGTTCAAATAAGTTAGATGGCGTAATGCCTCAAGAACTTTGTCACCTCTCCTCTCTTCAAGTCTTGGATCTTGCTGACAACAATTTGTCTGGAGCAATACCATGGTGTATCAACAAATTTATTGCCATGTCCTTAAACCCAAATGAAAATGCCATGAATGCTTCTCCTTCTCCTGTTGCTATTGTTGCTTTTGCTCCCACTAGTCGCATAGATTTCACAAAGAATGAAGTTTTGGTGACAAAAGGAAGAACATATCAATCTGACGAGACTCTTCCTCTTGTGACTATCTTAGACCTTTCGAAGAACAATATATCTGGAAAGATCCCCGAGGAACTAACTACTCTCTAAGGATTGTGTTTTCTAAATTTGTTTGGAAATCATATAACTGGTGTGATTCCAAAGAATATAGGTAACATGGGGTTGCTGGAATCTATTGATTTATCTAGAAACCAACTCTGCGGTGAAATTCCTCCAAGCATGTCAGGTTTGAATTTTTTAAGTTACTTGAATTTGTCTTATAATAACTTGTCAAGAAAAATTCTATCGAGCACCCAACATCAGAGCTTCCATGCTTCTAGCTTTATCGACAACAAGCTGTGTCGACCTCCACTCACAAAGAATTGTAGTGATAATGGCAAAACACCTGAGGGGAATGAAGGAGATAACGAAGGTGCTACATCTGAGGTGGATTGGTTTTATGTATTTATGGCTTTAGGATTTGCAGTTGGTTTTTGGGGCGTCTCTACTCCTATATTGTTCATTAAGTCATGGAGGTATGCATATTTTCAATTTCTAGATAATGTTTGGACTAGATTGGTGTTGCTATAAGTGAGTAAGTGTGTTTAGATTGTACAACTCAAGTAGACGTCTTCTATTTGCGTCTTCTTAATATCATGAATAAATGCACTTTCGTGGAATGTATTCTTTGTGCATAAAGTTCTTGTGATTTTATAATGAAATTTTTCATATCATGGTTAAAGTTTTTGTCAATAAGTAGCTTATGATTCTGTGTAAAATTAAAAGTCTGTGAGAATCATTTGCGAAGTCGAAAAACTTCTAAAAGAAAAATTGCTTTAAATTTGGAAACTATAGCAAATTTAGAGCGGACCATGGAATTGTTTACCCCTAAAACCCCAAATACAATAAAAAATGAAACGTGTATATATAACTTATGCATAAAACTTTGTTTTCAACTTGCTTTCAGTCAGAATATCTTAAAAGAGTATACCATAGAACATATTTTATCCCATACTTGTCATATATGTATATCGAAAATGATCCGTAGCTCGAATGTGTAGAGCTCGAATGGTACGGAAAATATTATCTTACCGGTAAGAGAATAAAAAAAAAATCCTAAAACGACGTCGTTTTGAGATTTTGAGCCATTCGAGCTTTTGATATTTCGAGCTACGTAGCGGAGTTGTATATATATATATATAATCTTCAAATAGTTAATCTTTTAATTATGAATTTGTAGTTCAAGAAATTAAAAAAACTTGTTGCTGTTGGATCACCCCATGTGAATGGAGCACCCACTTTGGAGAGAGTGGGGGTGGCTTATCATCTCCAACCCATTAGAGAGTGGAAGGAGGTAGGTGGTGACCAATCACATCCTCTCTCAATTGTGTATAAATTGAGGTGAGGAGGAGGGGTTGAATGAGAGAGAGATAGATAGAGCAAACCAAAGAGAGTGAGAGATGTGAGGCGGAGAGACCGTCTCTCTTAGTGTGAGCGAAGAAGACGGGTGAGTGGGTGAGTGAGGAGAGTGTGAGCTTCTCCTCTATTGTAATCTTTCTGTAATCTCTCCATTGTTATAGTGATAACCAGTTCCTCTCTCGTGGACGTAGGCATTGAGGCCGAACCACATTAAATATAGTGTCTCCTAGAGTGTGGGTGTGCTTTACTGCTTGGTATATTTTCTACAAGGTCTTGGGTGGGATCCCCGATCCCAACAAGTGGTATCAGAGCCTCATCAGTCGTTTTCGGAACAAAAACAGTGTGTTGTTCGAAACTGCCCAGAAATCAAGTTGCTCAAAATCAGGTTTTGAGCATACCAGGAACAAGGTCTTGACGAGAAGAGTCCAAAAATGCAAAGCAGAACCCCAGAGGACACCAGACGCGCCCTCACGCGCCCCCTGAAGATGGCGCGTGAGGCCCAGTCTCAAGCACGCGCTTCACACGTCGTTCAGTGCACCAGCGTGTCAGTCCACTCTCAGACACGCGCCCTACACGCCGCGAAAGGAAGAAGGAGAGTGTGGCGCGCATGCGAGTGACATCAGCGCCACGTTAGCGTGCCACGTCATCGCCATGTGGCACCGTCGTCAGCCAGTGAATGCCATGTGTCTACCACGTCGGCAGTCTAGTCAGCGCCGTGTCATCTGCCACGTCAGCATACGGAGAAGTGATCCAGTGTTGCGCGGCTAAGGTGCAGCTGCAAGAGAAAGGATCTAGTGTTTCGCGGTTAAGGTGTAGCCGCAGATCTGAGGCATCCAAAATGTTTTGGCTTGATCTAAGCCATTCGGAGTCCGTTTCTGACGATTCAATAGTGCTTTCCAACTATTTGGAGTATTCTAGACACATCCGTACGATCAGATTTTGGAATCAGAATTTCTATAAAAAGAAAGAAGATCAAAGTGGCAGACGACATCAGGTGCAGCGGACGGAATAATCTGTTAGAACAAGGAATATTCCCTGAACTTTTGAAAATTGCAATTTGGTCGAAAATTTTCAAAAAATTGTGGTGTGGCCTAGCTTTCGGGGATGTTTTTTCAGTGAGGTCCCCAGAAGTGTAGCGAAGGTTGGTCCTAGCTAAACGGATTGTTCCGGACGCAATCGCGGGGTTAAAATAGTGAAATTTTGAACGATTTTTAAAGATTGTCAAAACATGGGAGTTTGTCATCTTCAATAGTCGAAGGAAGGTTGCCGGATATTGTGGAACGCTGCGGATTCACTGAAGAGGTTAAAATGGACAGATTCTAACCAGATTGGACAACCAACTAGATACAAATCGAAATAGATCATTGGAGACCAAAGGAGATCAGGCTTGATCAAATGGCAGATCGAGGGAGATCAGGATTGGTTAGGGGCGATCAGAGAATTACAGAGATGATTATCTCCGAAGTTCATCAGATGATCTGGTTCAATCAGAAGAGAAGACCATTCATCGACGTACAGATGATTTGGCAACAAGTACAGGCTCAGGGAAATGCTGTGGCTGTTGGAGCTACTGTATATGAGTAGGTACTAGTGGTATGTGGACGTGTAGAACAATAGTTGTAGAGGAGCATACTAAGCGCATAAGCACAAATGCAGACGTGCAACAGTGCAAGGGTACGCTAGAGTGTCGTACAGAGGCGTGAGAAGAGTATGTAGCAACGGGTTATTGACAGTTCACAGGAACTTCCAGATAGAGAAATTGAGATGTGTAAAACGCAAGAGTGCGCGCCAAGGAGTGAGAAGTATCTTTTCTTTATGGTGGTTTCTTTAGTTCCATTGCAGTGGAGGATAGAGTTGATGCGGATCTCTCGAGCGAGCTTGACGCAGGGAGACCAGAAACCATGGGTGCGAGCACTATGCAAGAAATTGCATAGCTGACGATGCTTTGACAGATGGAGCTACTGTTAACAATCAATCTGCTGGACAGCAAATCAAGGATTGCAAAAGCACAGAAAACGAGCGTATGTGGAAATGCTAGGAGGGTGTTCAGAAGTGCAGAGGGCAAAGACTGATAGTTTAGAGGAAAAACTCTGAGCAAAGAAGACCGAGGACGTTGATGGGATAAACAACGAGTTATCAATTGCTTCAATGACTGGTTCTGCGAGGTAATGCATGACAGTCAAGGGCATCCCAGCGGGGGGTGCAGGACATCTAATTAGGGGGTGTCGGATATCTTGGTTGCGCAGGTTCAAGCATAGTAGGTGAAGACATCCGAGATAGGAAGCGTGGAAGAGATTTGTGGGAGATAAGAGCAGAGGCTCTCTCTAAATCAGAGAATGGTGTGAGTTGAGTAGAGGATGTAGGATTCCCTCATCCTCTTGTATCTCTGGTGTATTATCTCTAGCTTCAGGGGATGCAGTGTCTCAGTGAGGAGATGAAGATTCTGTTGGTTTTTTGGGCATGACAAGATTAACAGTAGTGTGTGCAGTGGATCACCTCACATGGGTTGAGGGGGTGATTTGTTGGATCACCCCATGTGAATGGAGCACCCATTTTGGAGAGAGTGGGGGTGGCTCACCAACTCCAACCCACTAGAGAGTGGAAGGAGGTAGGTGGTGACCAATCACATCCTCCCTCAATTGTGTATAAATTGAGGTGAGGAGGAGCGGTTGAATGAGAGAGAGAGATAGAGCAAACCAAAGAGAGTGAGAGATGTGAGGTGAAGACACCGTCTCTCTCGGTGTGAGCGAGGGAGACGGGTGAGTGGGTGAGTGAGGAGAGTATGAGCTCCTCCTCTATTGTAATCTTTCTATAATCTCTCCATTGTTATAGTGATAACCGGTTCCTCTCCCGTGGACGTAGGCATTGAGGCCGAACCACGTTAAATATGGTGTCTCCTAGAGTGTGGGTGTGTTTTACTGCTTGGTATATTTTTTGCAAGGTCTTGGGTGGGATCCCCGATCCCAACAGTTGCCAATTGTTCAGTTTCATTCTTAATAGATTGAGATGGAAATTAAGATATCTATTCATGTCCTTTTGTTAAGCTCTTCTTCATAATTCAAAATGTCATCCAAATTAAGCTCTTTGTCTGCATAATATTGCCTTTCTGGGAGAGGACAACCTTGGTTGGAGTTGTTGTCAAAATAGTGCCAGAAGAGCTTGTGCCAATAAGGATCCTACAAACACATACGACTACCGTCAACGACATACTCCACCAACATATTACTACGCTCAACGTCAAAACAGTAATGAAACTTTAGTATTTGAAGTGACACCTAGTAAAATAAATATGATAGGGATAATGGTAATTTATATAAAATTCAACCCACATCAATATATCACTATGGAGTTACATGAATACAAAATTCGGTCCAGCATTACTCTTTTCAATTAGTCCACTCTTTAACTCAGATTGGAATAACTAAAATAAAAACAATATTGATGCAAATAGATTGTATGAACCCAATGTTAATGAGGGAAATAATAGGGTAAACTACCAATAGGTCTTAATAGTTGACTTAATTCCCATCAAATCCTATTGAAAATAAGTCCTACTAAAATCGTCGCAAAAAATAATTTTTTGTAACGATTTTTTGCATATGTTGCTAAAAATTGACAATTAGTGCCTTCTTTTTTACACGATTTTTATAAATTGTTACTAAAACTTACAAAAAATTCGGTCCAGCATTACTCTTTTCAATTAGTCCACTCTTTAACTCAGATTGGAATAACTAAAATAAAAACAATATTGATGCAAATAGATTGTATGAACCCAATGTTAATGAGGGAAATAATAGGGTAAACTACTAATAGGTCTTAATAGTTGACTTAATTCCCATCAAATCCTATTGAAAATAAGTCCTACTAAAATCGTCGCAAAAAATAATTTTTTGTAATGATTTTTTGCATATGTCGCTAAAAATTGACAATTAGTGACTTCTTTTTTACACGATTTTTATAAATTGTTACTAAAACTTACAATTAGTTACTTTTTTGTGACAAAATTTTCAAATTATCGCTAAAAGTTGAAAATTAGTGACTTTTTTGTGACGATTTTTTTAAACTGTCGCTATAACTTATAATTAGTGGCATTTTTTGTGACGAAATTTTCAAATTGTCGTTGAAAATTAACAATTAGTGACGTTTCTTAATATTGTTTGATGAAAAACGCCATTAATTATCATAAGGCCTATTGGACAATAAATCAACCTATTAGGACCTACACATAAGTCCTCCGATATAATATCCATCCCAGCATCAAATTGTATGCAAGTCACGAGTGTCAAATGCATATATAATTTAGATGTACGTAATAAAAATACCATTTTATGTTCTTTTGATAGTATAGATAATTTATTCGATAAAATCATATTCCCAGCTTGTTAAATACTCTAAAAATTTCATGCCAATTTAACAACATTCACAAATTATGTTTATCTGTACTACTTTAAAAAGTACGAAGATACCTAAATGTTTTCTGCTTTTTTAAAATGTCAAAAATGCCCCTCTATTTATCAACGAGTTGCTCAAGTCAAAGGGACGATTCGTAATCGGCACTACTGATACAACTATTATCAATAACTGCAATGTTTAGTAAAGAAGTTTCCAATTGCAATAATATATTTTCCACAAATTGCACAAACCTTAAAAGCGGAAGACATCGACTCTGAAATTTGACAAGACAGAGACAATTAAAGAATTGTTTTTATCCCTGAATTTTTTAAGTGAGAATTGTTTTTCTACCAACTCTGAATTTTTTTAGTTTTGTTCATGCAGAAGGCTACCTATAATTAAAATTTCAAATTATACCATCTATGTTTTCTTGAAAATTTTTGGTCTAATAAAATTGTTAGGTTTTTGTTCTTGGCAATCCCGTTTGATAAAACTCTTTTCAATTGTAATTTTATTCATTCTTTTACTTCAGTGAGGCTATAAGTTTTTAGATGCGAATCCAACTCGAGTTGTGCCTATGCAGAGGAGTTTGTGATCTTAATGTTGTTGAAGTTGTTTGTTCGCTCGAGCGAAAGAATGTGCGCTCGAGCGAAGAATCTTTGGTCCCAAAAGTTTTCACTGATTGTAAAAATACTGAGAAGATGCATTTCTCGCTCGAGCGACACTTTGGTGGCTCCAGCAAAGACACTTGGAAAAACACGTGTTTTAGTCTCTTCGCTTGAGCGAGCATTCCTTCGCTCGAGCGACCGTCGCAGCCTTATTTTCTATAAATATGTGGTTCTATCAGATTTTAGGGTTACGACTTCCAGATCTTCTTCTTGGATATTAGGGTTTTCATCTAGAGCTTCTTTGCTTGTTTCCTTTGATATCTGTGAGAGTTTAATAATGAATTAAGTGGATTATATCAAAGGGTTTGTTTGGTTTGTTTTATTCAAAAAGATAGAGTCATTCTTCGGTGGATTCCGTGGAACTTGAGCCTGAAACTTTGGTGGATTACAGAGTGGTTCATCATCGTGGATTTGATATCTGCGTTGTGGTTTCAATGTTGGGCAAGACAATTCCGAGGTGAAGATGGTGGTGGAAGAGGCACATTGGGGTCGGTTTAAGTTGGGCGTAGATTTGCTAGGTAATTGAGAGTACACTTGTATAATTCTTTTTTTTTTCTTCTTAGTGAATTGTTTTGTAGCTTTGGCCCATGATTTTTTATCATAATTGGAGGCGCTCCAATTGTGGTTTTTTCACGTTAAAATCGTTGTGTCGATTTGTCTTGATTGTTTGATTGGGATTGTTATTTATTGGTTAAAATTGATACATAATCACAAATCAATTTCTCGGGGAGTTTAGATTTTTCAATGTTTTCAAATATATATATGTATATATTTTTTTTTTTCTTTCATTTCATTTTCTTGTACTTTCACTTTTCACTATTTTTTCTTTCTAAACAAATGAAGTTCGTTCCGAAATACCACGTTATCATGTTTTCACCCAACGGTAAATTAGGAATAAAGTGAAATTTTAAACATGTGCAATTAGATAGGCATACGATCACAATGGTGTTCCTCACCCACCTATTATGTAGTATATTTGATATTCATTTGAAATCTTTAACATTTTTGTTCAAATTGTTGTTGTCCTTGTGAATAAAAAAAAATATTTATATATAGAACTAGGGTAATTGATTGAAAATTAAACTTCTAGCCTAAAAACCTTTTTTGTATTCCAATTTCAAATAATGAAAGCTTTTATCTCACCTACCTATTCTATTTCTAATTTTTAAACACATGAAGAAACTCAAGTGCAAGGCACGTGCACCATTACCATTACTTGTATTAACAAAGTTTTAAACATAAGATACCCTTAAAAAGAATGACAAAAAAAAAAATAGAAGAGTTCTAAAAATAAACCACCTACTGTAAAGGTAAATGATAAAGGGAACTTGATCCCAAATTGTTGGAGTGTATGCTACATTTTTCTATGATTGTGAAAATTACTCAAGCTTATAGTTCAACAATACTACGGATGTTAGATTTCAAGTACCATAAAATACTACAGATGCATCAGAAAAAGCCTCTCAGACTTGGAAAAGAATTATGAAATCTAGAGATTTTCTCAATAAAGGCCTGAAGTGGACAGTTGGTGATGGGAAGCACATCTCATTTTGGAATGATTAGTGGTGTGGTGAATGCACCTTTGCTACTAGATTTCCAGGACCTCACACTAGAGAAGAGGTGTCAGTGGAAGACATGATAGATGAGGAGGGTAGGCGGAATCTACAAAGTGTAAAAAACTTTATCTCTCAACAAACTTTACAACAAATCCGCCAAACCCATCTTCCCCAGCATGTGTTACTTTCAGATAATCCTTACTGGATAGGTTCTTCTAATGGAGGGTTTTCTGTTGGGGCAGCTTATGACTTGATTACTGCTCAAGAGCAAATGTCTCATTCCATTAACTGGAGTTGGATTTGGAAACTCAAAATCCCTCAAAAGATCAAGGGCATTATTTGGCTTCTTCTTAATGGGCGGCTCATCACTAACCACTTTAGAAGAATCAAAGGGGTCTCATCTTCTGACATTTGCCCAAGATGTAATCTTTATAGAGAAGATCTTCAACACCTTTTCAGAGAATGTACCAAAGCTGCAGAAGTTTGGAGAAACATCAGGAATCTTAGTTGGCTGAATATAAGTTTGAACATTCGTTTTGATCAATGGTTGCTATCTAATTTGAAAAGTAAGAGCTCTAAAATCTGGAATGTACCATGGGGAACTGTTTTTATTCTAGCCTTTTGGAAAATTTGGAAAGACAGGAATAATATGGTTTTTCGCCAAGAAGATTGTAATGCACAGGAGGCTGTTAGATTTATTCACTTGCAAGCCATTGAAATTCAGGAAGCCTTTCTGACTGATCATTTCACAGGGAGGAAAATACCTCAAGTTTCTAATTGGTGTTGTCCTCTTGCAGGTAAAATTAAGCTTAACACGGATGGATGCTCTAAAGGCAATCCTGGACCAGCGGGTTATGGAGGTTTATTCAGAGATGAAAGAGGGACATGGCTGCATGGTTATCATGGAAAGCTTGAAAATGCAACCAGTGAGGTTGCTGAATTGTAGGGAGTTTACAGAGGTCTCACCATCATCCTAGAGAAGAGCATGACAGACATTCTTATAGAAACTGATTCTGAGCGAGTGGTGTTGTTTATCAAAGGGGACACTCCTCCAAATTTTGCGCAACGAGCTCTCCTCGAAGACACCAAATTTCTCATGCACAGGTGCAATTGCTCCATCAGTTACACACCTAGAGAGGCCAACAAATGTGCAGATGGACTAGCAAATTTGGGAGCAACCCACCAAGACAATCTGGTAGTGCTTGATGACCCACCAAGTGCCATTGTAAGTCTGTTGATAGCAGACATGGTGGGGGCATCTTGTGTAAGGACTTGGTGTCCCTGTTTCTTTCCTGCTTTTGTTCTATTTCCTTTGAATCAAAAAAAATAAAAAATAAAAATAACAACACAAAGTACCTTACTGACAATGTGTGGATTCCCAACTATGATAAGCAAGGACTTTGCCTGAGTAACCGCAATATTAAACCTCCTCAGATTGCCAAGAAACCAAGACAATAGGTTTTATCAAACCCATTGTGTTTGGCTGTTCACAATTGAAACAATTATAACTTCCCTCTATTGTCTTTGGAATTGCTCAACACTCCCAACCTTAATATCAAATGATTCCAATACCTTGGTTGTCTTCACCACGAGGGATCGTTGCCTTCTCTCTCATCACAGCCTTGAATGGCGTTGAAGGGAATGAGAAATTCTTTGCTAGGAAGGCTTAGCCAAGGTTTCAAAGAAGAGGGATTTTCTTGACACGGTAACTTCTCACTAATTTTGTGATGAAACTTTCATCCCCATTGTGGTAATATTCACATTCAAAAAGTCTTTCTAGATATGATTTTCCTAACCCAAACCCCTTTGCATCTCTAGAATACACAACCGGACCTAGTTGTAATTAGTCATCTGCCAATTTGGGACTTTGTTCGAATTAGGATCAAAAGTCTTGGAGAGTTATTCATATTATGGATCTTGTGGTTGTTTGATTGGATTTTTCATTGTGATGTAGATCATATATTAGTAATCCGGATGCAAGTTTTTGGATGTTTAAGGATGTGTTTAGACGTCCTGATGGATTCGAAGGCCCAATGACAATATTAAGTTTCTACTTTAGATGCCCCGTAAAATAAATTGGAGCCATTGATTAGTTTCTACTTATCATGAGATAACATTTTTGTTGCAAAATTTCAAAAATACCCTCCTTGGGATAAGTTATATTATTATTGAGATTGTAATCCCAGATTACTTATCTCACCTTATCCTATTTGTGAATCAAATATGGCCCAACATACACCTCAAAGTCTATATATCCTATGACTAATTTCTTTCTTTCTATGAATGTTCAGTGATCCAAACATGCAGCCTTCATTTGCACAGTTCACGATGGCTCTAAAGCCGTTGCAGCGTCTGGTTATACCATCACATTTTTTGACCAGCAAAGTTCACCTTTGCCACAAGAGATCTCGGTGAGTACCACTCCTTGAAATGTCTCAGTTCTTTCTCAAATGTGAATAAGGTGACATTTTGTTGTGTATGAACTCTACTACGCAATGTGGAGTTGGAATAAAGGATGATATATAACCTGTTTATGTAAAGCATTTGGGGCTAATGATTAATGGTTAATCAAATGAAGCCATGTATTGTTGTTGCTGCTCAAAAACTGCGGCAACAAATTTTATTTTTTATTATTATTATTTTTTTTTACAGTGGGTGTTCATATCTGAGATGTGTAATACCTTGAAAGAAATTGTCAAACTGTATATTTTAAATAAATAAAAAATTTAATGATTCTGCGTCAGACTTTTATTTTGTGATTTTGGGTGTCAAATGAGTTCCCAATGGATCACAAATTAGTCCCAAACATATATGGGGGGAGTTTTTTAAATCAAATTTTATTTTTTCAATTTCTTATGTTAATTCATGAAAATAGTGTCTTCGCACCTAATAGTAAGATTGGTTACACTCGAAACTCCTCAAACTTCGTAATGACTAGAGCTTCGTACAATGCAACCAATAAAATAGAGGTTATATATATTATCGCGGGATAGATTTTATCAGAATTTTCACATTGATCCACACAAATAGTCTCCTTGTATCTGACCCTCTCAGACTTCGCAAAATGACAATAGCCTCCGGCATTTGAACTGCCTACATTAACAAACACAATATGCCTAATATAATACTATAATGATGTAAGTGATAAAAATATGTAGCGAAATTCATCCGGTACAAAAATCATTTTCCCCACAAAATATAAGAAATTACATATAATGAAGATTGTGTACATTTAATTTTTTTCACCTCACAATAGTGGGAGACTCATGTACTAAGACAGTTCTACTACATTGATTCATATAACAAACATGATGTATACATGAGGATGCAAGTGATGAAAAATATTAGTGAACTTCATCCGTGACAAATTGCAAATATCATTTTCCCACAAAATACAAGAAATTACAAATCGTGTTCATGGATATGCAGGAAGCATTCGGATCCTGTAGAATGATCCTGTAAAGTGATCTTTCATGGCACGACACGTGTCCCATTAATGGAACTAATGGCTGAGATGATCCCTCGCCAAAACGACGTCGTTTTGGTGAGCCAGACCAAAAAAAAAAAAAAAATTGTAGAGTTTGTAGATCGAGAGGAAGGATGAGAAGAGAGAGCTAAGAAAAAAGAAAGAAGCTGTCGCTGCCCAACGCCGCCCCGCTGCCACCGATAGGGCTGAGCAAGAAATCCGTAAAATCCGTAATCCGATCCAGTCCAGTCCAATCCGATAGGTTTGGATTGGTTTTTCGAATCCGTGGTTCGGTTCCGGATTGAAGAATTAAAAATCCGTAGTCCACGGATTGGTTCCGGATTGAACCTCACGGTTCCGGATTGGAACCGATCCGGACCGTATACAAATAGTCTATATTTTTATTATACATCCTCCCCCATAGTATCTTCTCTTATTCTATATAAAATCTAAACTCAAACCTAAACCTCGTATAATATCTTCTTTTATTACTTTTGTTTTTTAGTTTTTAGTTTTAATTTGTAATGATCTAAATACTTATGATGAAACTAGTTTTTTTATGATTGTTTAAATTCTAGAACATTATGTCGCTATTATAAAAAAACATGTTGCTATTGTAGAACTAATATAGCGCTATGTTTATATTTTTATAAAATTAAAGTATTATATATATATATATATATATTTATTTAATTATGTGAATCTGTGGTCCTAAACCGATCCAATCCGTGTTGAAATGGATTGGTTCGGATTGGTTCCAAGATTTAAACGGATCGGATTGGTTCCGATTTTTCAGGAACCGTAGATAACGGATTGGTCCTGGTTTTATCCCAATCCGGTCCAATCCGGACCATGCTCACCCCTAAAAATTTTAACACAGGGTTGTTTACACGTAAATCGCATAAATTATTGAAAAATATTATTATAATTTTTTAAATTATAAAAGCATATAAATGAGTTTCTTAAATTATAAAAGTGTACAAATTGAATTCTCAAAGAGTCAAAGTAAAATACGATAGGGGTCTATTTGTGCACTTTTATAATTTAAGAGACAAAATGATACTTCTCAATATTTTTTAGAGTAATTTATCCTCTTTCATAGTTTAGGGGGTCAAAATAATTTTCTCAATAATTTAGGGATCTTCGTGTAAATAACACTTCAATATATAATTGATAAAAAGCATCCCTAATAATAGAAAAGACATTTAGAACATTTTAAATATTTTAGGGCAAATTACAGAAATGATCTCTATAGTTTATCCATAATTTCATTTTGGTCTCTGCACTTCTAAATGTATCAATTTTGCCCTTACAATTTGGTTTTTGACTTGAAATGGCCCAATAGTTAATAGCCGTTAGACTTTTGGACAAAAACCCTACGCGTGCCTTGCAAGGGAAGAAATCAGCCATTCATAGTTAGTTGTCCATCTTCACATGGCTCATCATGCACTAACTGGTGTCACCACCAAACAAACAACCAATGGATAAGAAAATGATGACGTGTACTTTCTATATATTAAATAAAAAATAAAAATTATAAATTAAATTTAATTAAAAATTATGGCCTTATAAATTAATTTTTTTTCGTGTTGTTAAAAAATTAAATTTATATATTAAATACAATTATTTTTTTAGTGTTGTTAATTTAAAATTATATATTAAATAAAAAATATAAATTATAAATTTAATTTAATTAAAAATTATGACCTTATAAATTAAATTTTTTTAGTGTTGTTAAAAAATTAAATTTATATATTAAATAAAATTATTTTTTTAGTGTTGTTAATTTAAAATTATATATTAAATAAAAAATATAAATTATAAATTTAATTTAATTAAAAATTATGACCTTATAAATTAAATTTTTTTAGTGTTGTTAAAAAATTAAATTTATATATTAAATAAAATTATTTTTTTAGTGTTGTTAATTTAAAATTATATATTAAATAAAAAATATAAATTATAAATTTAATTTAATTAAAAATTATGACCTTATAAATTAAATTTTTTTAGTGTTGTTAAAAAATTAAATTTATATATTAAATAAAATTATTTTTTTAGTGTTGTTAATTTAAAATTATATATTAAATAAAAAATATAAATTATAAATTTAATTTAATTAAAAATTATGACCTTATAAATTAAATTTTTTTAGTGTTGTTAAAAAATTAAATTTATATATTAAATAAAATTATTTTTTTAGTGTTGTTAATTTAAAATTATATATTAAATAAAAAATATAAATTATAAATTTAATTTAATTAAAAATTATGACCTTATAAATTAAATTTTTTTAGTGTTGTTAAAAAATTAAATTTATATATTAAATAAAATTATTTTTTTAGTGTTGTTAATTTAAAATTATATATTAAATAAAAAATATAAATTAT